CGGACTGAGGGTAATTTACGAATGCAAATAGTGCAGGATTTACGTATGCGACTGACCGTGTAGATTAGTGCAAGCAAAAAACAACGCTGCCGGCAGCGCGTCCTAGTTCCTGGAAACGCGTCTAATTGGTCAGCTTCAAGGTCGGAATCGGAAGTAGGACGCAACGCGAGCCAATTATGACTCGCAACTTCGCCGCCACTGCTGACTCACCCCATTTTTGGCTACGATCATTTTTCGAAGGCAGTTGGCTATCCTCTTAGGTGATTTTTGTCCTCCTTAGGTTTTCAAGTGCCCTTCACTCGTGACGCCATTAAAACCATTAAAGTCACTTACTATGATAGCAGGAACTGTTCAGCCCACAAAATTGGCGCATAAAAATACTTACAAAACCTGACAATATACAGTGGCGCATTTATGACATCTTGGACATTAGGCCAAGATGGGCCTGAAAATATCGCACAGTTGTGTGATACAAAGTGTGGGCAGGCAGTTGCTCAGGCGTTCGCGTGCACACGCACCTCCTTCCGTTGAATTTGCATCTACTCGTGACCTTGAGGCAGCCGTAGCATCAAGGTCACTGGAACAGACTCTCAAGGGTACTGCAAAAAAACCACATCGCGGCGCAAACTTCAACCAAAAAGCAAGTCATCTTTTGCATCATCAACAGCAGTGCTGGTGAATCACCCTGAAAATACTGCGCTACATCGGCTCTCGAAGTAGGGGAAAAAGTGGCAAGGGATGTGAGGAGGCAAGTCACAGAGCCGGAAATCATCTGATAACTTCGATCCGCATGCTCGGCGCCGACTCAGATGGAGCTCACGTCGGCTGCGTCCACGTACAAGTTAAACCAATTCTCCATGGCCGTATCAACCTGGCTGCATACTAAACGCACAATCAACCAATCGAACTCGATGTCAAGAATCAAATTCTGAAACCCCGTTCCGTGATTTTAGCCTACCTATAGAAATTGACTGAGGGCAATCGATTTAAAGGCCTCTGTCTTGACCTTGAAAATGATTTTGAGCCAATCAATCAGTCTTAATTTGGCGTAACTGAAATAAGAATCTGCTTTTGTACATCTTAGCGTAAAACAAGAACACAAATGGATTGGCGATTTGTGGATTTTACCTAATTTTTCATTTTAACACATTCATTGAATCCTAAAGCTGGTTTAAAAACTTGTACACAAGGGCACAATTCTAATTGGTCCTAGGATGCTTGAACCAGTGAGGTGCTCTCCCATTGGTTGCAATTCAAGCGCTGTTTTGATGAGTGGGTCGCTCATGTCGATAAAGCACCAGTTAACCTGCAAAGTCACAATGCAGGTCATATCAAAGCACAAGTAATTATTTGCCTGGTTCATCAAGCCCATACTTAATGAATTGTTCTTCTTTTATTGTGGAAAATTAACATATAGGCAAGCAGGAGAAAATGTGATCGGCCCTGTGAAACAGCTGAAGATGAAAGAGGATTTGGCCGGTATATTGAGGGTTGTGTCAACACCATCGTAAGCCAATTGCGGTCACGAGATGAATGACTCCTTTACAAAATGTAAGGTTTCGAATTATTGCCCTCTGAAAAATTTATGCATTTCTCATAAACTGATTGTCTGTGATCTGTTTAAAAGGCGTGGTTTTGTTTAACTGAGTTAGTGTCAATTTTGTGAAGTTGACGTGTTTCGGGATCCTAAAACGGCCTAATTTTGCCAATTACCGGGGTAATTCGAGGCCGTGTTCTCTTCCTAGCGACTTAATCATCGTTTCTTCATTGAACTAACGGAGACTGGTTATTCATGGCAGTGAAATACTACCATGGTAACAGTAATCAACTGTCAACTGAGAGTGATCTCGTTGATAAAATTAACGCAGGAAATCGAAAGAATAAACAGGGAGAAATGTTGTAGGGTTGGTGCGTTATTTCGACTTAGTTTTCGGCAATATCAATCATGTCGCTCCAGGCAACAGGTCGCTCTCCATAAACAGGTTGCAGTTTGAAAAATGTTTGACCCGATTTACTTTAACGACCACACGTTCCGCTAAAGTACGCCGAAATCAGCACAATTTATGAATTAATTCGCATTCCACAAGGCACTTGATTTAACTGCTGTGCACTTGGTGATTACCAGGGATCTAAACTAGTTTTCTCGATATTGTGTGGTCCGGGAGGTAGGAATGAGGACTGTGACGGGATTGGTGTAAAAATACGATTCGTAATTGGTGTAAAATTATCTTCAATCATGGCGTATCTGCTTAATGCACTGGCAAGTAACGACAAGCATAGGGAATAGGGAATTCAGTTGAACCGGTGGTGGCATGGCAACCTTTTGTTTTAATTCACAGATCTGAATTGACCTTCAGTAAGGATTGCGCTTGTGGTCTTCTGTGACACCCAAAATACATTTGGAGGCTTCCTCCCACAAAATGCTGCAGTTTTCCGAGCGCATTTGTGTGTGCACCAGTGTTTCGGCGCTAATTCCGGTCAAAACACGCATTGAATGAGAACGCAGCGTGAATTTGTTTAAATACATTAAGGTCACTTGACCGCCATTCTGTTGATTTGACGTTAGTTGATCATCGCAGGCTACATTTCGTTTACTTTTCGATTCGGAAAGATTTTTGTGAAGCGCAGCAACCAGATACAGAGCCTTCCTAACAAAAGGCCATAGGTTAAATGAATCGCCACCGGTTGACCCTAAATTCATTAACTGGAAATGTTTAAAATGTACTGTTGTGTCCCATACTACAAACAAACACTTAGCGTTGTGTACGCGAAATAAATGCATGGATATAGGCCGATCTTAATTATGAATGTGGGCGTAGTTGTTATAAGTCGCATTCATTCGTGAATGCACGTGGGTGGAAACTCGCCGTCCAACGTTAACATAAATACAACGCTAATACGGCCTCAAATTGCCTTAATTTGGCTTTAATCCGATTCAAGTAAATAATAAATAAGTTATATTAGTAAACTATGACATCATTTGGGGGAGGTTAAAGCTGGGGCCGGAACTTTTAACCGAAATGCCAGGGTAGAAACAGTCATAGTATTATTGCTACTTATATCTATTAGTAAATGTATTATTACAAAGTAGTCGCACAGGCACAATTTTTGTTAATTCGGTTAAAAGAGTGATTCCGAAAGGCCTGCCTAACAATGCTTAAATTAATATCTTCGCAGGAAAAGCCAACTCCAAACCGGAGCAATTTATAAAAAAATAAAGCGTTCTTTTGCAGTTCATCTTGCAAAACCAATTTTTTTGCTGTCCTTGGTGGTGGTGGTGATGGTGGTGGTGGTGGTTAATTGATTACTCGAGGTTACATCACTCGGATGACGTGAAATTACTGATCAGAAATCGCAAGCACCTCTAAATTCTCGGTTGCTATGGTTTTCAACAGAAAAATCACATTCTAACGCAGTCGCCAACCTAAGAGAAGACTGTTTGCAGTGTTCACCATCATTCAAGATCACGCGGAAGTTACATTCACCGCGATCGAGCACTGCATCTCATTGCCACGGCTGCTTCTCCGACGCCGGATTTGTAAGAAAACGTTGTTGGTGATTGCCGTAATAGTGGCTTACACGCAGATTGCTCAAATTCATCAGCTGTTGAGATGTCAGACAAGAATCCAAGGACAACAGGTCAGCACGCGAAAACATTTTTAAGCAAGTCACAAACCCGAAATTTCCTGGCACCATTTCTAAAGGGGAACAGAGAATGGCGTCCAGTGTGTACTTGCGAAGCAGGTATGCCAACGACTTTGAGTAAAGCCTAGCTTAGCGGCATGTAGAATGTGTGATTGTGCTCAAGATAAGTAATGCTGTCACCCTCAAACCGTAGAAATTGAACGAATCGTGCACTTGATCCACTCGTCGAATGAGGATCCAATCAGATTGCGACAATTTGTCGAGTGGAAAGAGGGGACGCGGACAACATCGATTCTGAAGCAATGGCGACGAATTTCGGCTCCCAGATGCGTGGGGGCAAGAGGCGATATCTTTTAACAGGGAGTGTGATGCCTACTGCAGCACTAATGGCTGCTCACAAGGGTTAACCAGAGCACATAACCTCTCTTCAACACCATTCAGTACGCAAACTGCAGCAGTATCTCAACTTCCAAAACAATCTACCCTGTACATTCAGCAGGAACACGAAATTTTCATACTGACACAACCTTACGCGGCTACGTCTGCCAAACCCCACCGCAATTTGTGGCATTAATTATAGAAAAAGGTATCGTCGGCGAGCTACCGTTTCAAACTTCATTACGATTTTATATTTGCACCACGGATTTTGAAGGCAGTACAACCACGAGCAACGCCAGATCGGTTTTGGAGAGAATAAACTGGTGTCCTGCAGTTCATCGATTTTAAGGAGAAACCAAAAAGCGTTGAGAAAGCCATGTTTGCCTAATTGGATGTACTGACAATATCAACTAGCATGTACAAGTCGCAGGTCGAGCTAAATTTCGTTGTGTATGGGGGAGGAAGGTTTTTCATGGCTCCGGGAACCCTATTCACAAGACATCCGGAAATAATCACGCGTCCCTGTGGTGTAGCTTTAGACGACGACACCCCACGTAACAGCGAGAACCTAGATGTCGTCCATTTAGAGACGTACATAAATGCGTGCAGTCCAGAAACATTTTACGGCCTTGCAAACTCAAAGTACGTTACACAACCGTGTCAAGACAGCGTATCTGTTTTGGTGACCTTACTTGACTGCAAATCAGGTCCCAATGTCACGTAGGTCATGAAGTCTGAAACCGTATCACAAGAAGTAAAACTATGGTTTATTGTGTATGAAGGCGGAGTGCGATGAGGGTCACATTAGCTTGTACTAAGAATGAAAAATAACCTGATTCACAGCACAAAACCTGGCGTATTGCAAGAAGAAGGGTCGCAGACAACGTAGAACCTAAGTTAGCGATTGGCTGATCACAAGGTTGCACGGAGGGAAAGTCGACTGGGTTGGAAAAGTGCGAGTACGAACTGTCGGTGGTTCATATCAGACTCCAGTCATTGGGATTCTGCGAAGTCACTGTTCCTGTGGACGTTGGTGGCGCCTGGAATACACCAGCCAAGAGATCAACATTTGACGTCGGCTGAGAAGTTTGCGGCGGTTGAGACTGACAGCAAAAGAAAAGACGGGACGCAAAGGTGTGAAAGAGAACAAAACAGATCACAAACGCAGAATGGCTGTGTAACAAGTGGAAGAGGACGTTAATAACAACGAGGAAAAAAAAGTCATACTCACAGGAATGTGGGCAGGCGAGTCATTGGGACTTCCACGAACATACTGACGGTTCCTCGAAGAACTGGCTGAGCTGGGAGGAGGAGGGGGAATGAGGCCGGGGACGCCGGTGGGGTTGCCCAACTTCAAACTGGGCAGGGGTCGGGTGCGAGTGGGCCTGGAAGCGGCTCCACCCTCCTCTGAATCTCCAGTGCGCCGGGTGTTGATGTTCAATCGAAGACGTTGGCCCTCCTTTAGACCCAAGTCTAGGGAAGGCTGGCTGACAGTTTGCTGCTTCTCCGCCTCCTCCGCCTGCTTGCATTGTCTTTAAATGCAAAAAATAAAAAGGGCATGATTAGCGACGATAGCGGAAGGTTTAGGGAAGCAAAACAAATGAAGCGATTATTAATACTTGAGCATAGTGGCGGGTTATGCACTCGTTTGACACAGATATATAACCGAGATCCACATAATTGGGGTTTAAAACGCATTTTAGCTCATGATTTCATCGGTTTCGCAACGTGGAACATTATCATGCCCAATATTGGCTAAGGTTTCAAGGCAAATAGCCAAAAAACATGAGTTCACAGGTAACAAAAAGAAGTTTACTATGACTACCAAACTAATTTTCCAACCGAAAGCAATCCCTAATCGAAATGATGACAGTCATTGCGACAGAAGGTATTCATCAGACAAGAGCTGTTGAAGCGAAAAGGGACATACTTAAAGTGATCCTGAATGGCAAGATTGAAGTCGAATGAGTCGCTTCTCTCGGCAAATCCGATTCCGACAAAAACAGTTCTCCCGTCGTCCGACATGAGGCGAATCACGAAGTAGCGTGAGGAATCCAAAACTTGTTCTACGGCAACACCGGGATGCTCATCAACGGGGCACTGTGCGTATAGTTTGCCAGAGGTAGCATCTTCTAGTTTTATATATAATGTTTTTCCGTGTCCCTTGGTGACAATTCGCAAGCGTCCAGTCCATGCGGGAGAATTGAGACTCCAATCGGCGGCGCGGTAGCCCCTTGTAGACTGGCGAGGAGGAAGACTGTATAGGAAAACCTCCTTCTTCACCAACAGGACAGATTCATATTCAAAATCCATTTGAATTCAAGCTAAACAAAGTCAATAAAGGCATATGGGTTATAGCCATGGGGAAACAACCATCACATTCGAATAAGGGTTAGATGTAGGCCGGTTCGCATTTGCAGAAATGAATCGTAAGATGCCGAATACCACATTAAATACATTAACATCTGATGAAAGGTAGGAGATTGACCCAAATGTGACAAAAAATAATGAATGGTATTATTCATTTGAATGAAATAAAAGCTACCTTTGATGACGCCGACCATATTTTCGATCAACTAAACAAGGAAAAAATTCAACAAAAGGCCTTGAAAACAAATGTTATAAGAGGCATTATAGATGACTTCAACGCAAAGCTGAGTGCCGCATAGAAAAAGTAGTAAAAGCAACAAACGACACGCTTACACTGAGGCAAGGTTACTGAAACCGTATTGGTCAAAACTAAATGCCATGTATGTGGTCCTTGTTTAAACCGATTTCAGTTTAGAAAAATTTGCCATTAGAATTAATGATTTATAAATCTCTGTACAGCTTCCGACGGGAATTACAGTCTCTAACAAGTAAGAATTGAGATCAGACGTCCTGATTTGCGTCGTAGGAATAGGTTTTCCTAGAACGTTATGCACACAAAAAAGCAAAATGACTAATAAATGAATTTGAAATTACATTCACACGCAGCCACCATTACGTAATTAATTAAAATTAGCTAAACCAAACCCAAAATTCTACATTTTATAAACAGCGATTAAGAGGATGATGCCATTAGTATTGCTTTTTGCTTTTCGAGTGAACCGAGGAATAGGGCACATAACAAGCGCTTAAAGTCCAAAACCCAAAGAGTAAATTGACTTAATTGAGCAAACTAGGCAGAAATGTGGGATTAGGCTATGGTGGACAAATGTTGAGATCATGTATAGGTCTCGAACTCGGGCTAAAAGTTACAGCTGCCAGAGTAGTGACTGGAAAGAAGAAAGCATTCAATTTTGCTCCTTGCGATGTGGAAACATGAATTGAACCCAAAAATATAAAAAGGATATCTGATGTGACAACGAGTACGCAGCACACATTAATAGCTAATTGCATCACACTTAATACTTCAATTTTATTAAACAATTTTTTTGCGAGAACTTCTAGGCGTACGATGCATATACTAATCTTAATATAGTAACATTTCCGAAAAATTTGTCCAAAAAGGCTTTTCAAAAAGTTCGTTTTCTACAAAATCATACAAATATCAGTGGTTTCGTTCAAAAAATTCTTTTTCAAAAACGAATGCTTATTCTGGCGGAAAAGTCATATAATTGCACTACCACACATGAAATTATCAAAGTGTCCAACAATTTTAGGTGAACACAATTTGCGAATAGAACTTTGACTTTGTTTATGTAACCATAAATATTTTATGCTAGACTCTAAAAAGTAAGATCCAATATTTTGCCCTGATTGTTTGTTTATACGGTTTTGATTTTTAACTCGCAACTTAAAACGTGAGTAAATCCAATTGAATTTTCCCACTTTTCTCTGTTGGTCTCAGTGTGTCTCGTTTCTTTTTGACGTGTTTTTTATAATTCGTAAACCTTTTTGGAGTAGACTGACATTTCAACGGCTAAGGTATTATATTCCTTGACTGTCTGATGGTCCTCGTTCTTTGTTGAAATTGTGACTTCGCACACAAATCCCAAAACTATCTCTAATGTTCGTAGGAGGTTCACACCAAGCCCTATTGTTAAGTTTAAGCCTATTTGCACACACATAATCTGCTGTATTTAGACTTGAATAGGCATCAGTTAATATGGAATCATTCTACTGTTGCCTAGAGGCTTTTTTAACATGTTTTGATCACTTGCGCCTGTTTTGGCTGGCTTAGCAGTAATCATTTGAGGCATCTTTTTCATTACTTTTCTGGACAATCGTTCCTTTAAAGAAATCGTTCCAGAACTCATCCTAGTATCTATCCTTTCAGATGACAGAATTTCTTCAAAAGAGTGAGCCCATTCAGTGCACAGCAGGAGCTATTCCCGTTAAGAATGAAAAGGGTCAGACGTACATGCAAAAGGTTAAGGTGCATCGCTACATAGCGGGAAAGCGCCCTGATTTCGCTTCTGATTCGGAACAATCCGGCGAATCTGAATTCGAAGACGAGAATGACGAGCGTCAGAAGCGTCGGAGGGCTGCTGAATTAGAGCAGCAGCGGGAGAGCATCTCTGTAATAGAGCAGGAGCCCACCGCTGAGGAGTTGAATGATCCTCGTTTTCGCCGACTCATGCTTCTAAAAGTATGGGTTTTTTTAAACTTACCTTTTCTCGCCTAATTATTTCCCAATGTGGGATCACCGATTTATTATCTTATATTGGAAACCACGATTCTGCTTGGTACCTACTTAGCTTCAGTAAAAACAGGTTTCAATGTAGGTATTTACACCAATAATTCACTGTCACTAAATTCCAGCTATCAGCTTATCCCTATCTCGTCCAAATTCGTTACTTATCGTTTCATCAATGCGTAAAGGAACATTTGTAGTGTTTAAACAAAAGTCTTCTGCTGCTTATGGTCAAGATGATATTGTTACTGTCAGGTTTATCATCAGAATCGCGTTTTAAAACTCATGATGTGTTTTTTCGTAACACGGTGTTATTCTTATTTACGGTTAGCGTGAAGATGTGGTGTCCAGGTACCTATGAAACTCGAGACTAAAGTATGTCGTATGTTGCGTGAAGTAGATGTAAACGACAATTGACCCTTGCTGGTTTATTTTCGCTGTACAATTGGGATACTGGAAATCTAATTTTAATTACGATTACTGAGAACATGTCATAGTAGTCGGGATTAAAATAGTGAAACCAACTTTAGGCGCTGATAAAGCTCCCATTCACGGATTATGAGTCTGACAAAGTAATGTATAATGGAATGCAAGTGTTCAAAAGATCCCTTTGTTAAATTTTTTGCTTCGTCTCTAACGCCAATTGACTAATAGGGAGGTTCAGCGAACGGGCCAGCAGTACTTTGTCACCCGTTTATTGTACCAGTTACCTGTTCATTCTGGCAAACACATAATGCACTCCAATGATCTTGTTCCTTACATTGCTTTTCTGATGCAGCAAGCCAGAGACGCAGAGGAGAAGGAGGCGATGGCGGGCAGCGAGAACGATGAAGAGTTGGAAGACCGAGTGCTGCGTCACAAGCGTTACCGCGGCGGTGAAGATGGCGACCTCGACGAGCATGCGGGTTCAGAGGAAGACAACGACGAGGACATGGACGAAGACGAGCTTGCGCGCAGACGTGAGGTTCGTGCCTTCAACCCCTTCCCTCCTTTCCCCCCTCTTCAATTTCTTTTTTCTCTTTATAAAAATATCCAGCACTAGTGGCACCTGGAAGCTGGGTCGTGAGTGGCTCCGTCCAGTTCCCCAACCACACTTTACTCAACTAACTCCACTATTTAACTGTTGTTTGGGTAGATGAAGTCCTATTGGTTCCGAGTGTTGGTGCAGGGCCCACTAGTACTCGACCTTTGATTACTGTCTTCTTCCTCTTTGCCTTCGACTTCACTGACATAGACATCAGGCAGACCAGTGGTTGGAGGTGGAAGGTCAGCCCAATAATATTTCCTTCCTCTTTCTCCACAGTTAATCCGTCTTCGTGCTCAAAAACGTCGGGAGGAAGAGGAACGTGAGGCCGGGCGTCGCGACGACCACCTCGATGCCTACCCGGACGAAGAGGCGGCCGCGGCTGCTGACGACGAGGAGGAAGACGAGGAAGAGGATGAGGAGTACACGAGCTCTGAAGACGAGGTGGGTGCACCCAAGCTGAAGCCGGTCTTCGTGCGCAAGCAGGAGCGCGTCACACTGCAAGCCAAGCAACGCGCCGACCAGATCGCCAAGGAGGCAGAGGAGGAGACCAAACGCCTGGCAGATGAGAGGAGGCGCGACACGCTGAAGGTACGTTTCCTCCTTTCCCGCCTATTCCCGTTTCCACGCGCTCTCATTGCTTTCTTCTTTTTTAAGCTTCTCGAGGCGGAGATCCGACGCGAGGCCGAAGAAGCACGGGCCATGAAGGATGAGCTGGAAGCTCTGGACTCAGACGACGCCGCTGGCGACCCCCAGAAGGAGCAGGAGGAGTACGAGCTGTGGAAGGTCCGGGAGTTGAAGCGAATTCGCAGGGACCGTGAAACGAGAGAGGCGATCGAGCGTGAGAGGGCAGAGGTATGTTCACGTTGACCCCTTTCTTTACCATACTCACTTCTGTCGTTATTCTGCGTTATAAGCGCCCGACCTCCTGGTATGATGTTTCTTTGATCCTAAGACTTGCGGAGATGTTGCATCTCTCTGTAGATACGGGTCGGTAGGGAAGTATTTCCAGCCAAATAGGCCTAGCACCAATAGAACCACGTCATCCTCCTCTTCCTCTTTGATAGGTTGAACGGGTGCGCAATATGACCGATGCCGAGAGACAAGCCGAGTTCCGCAAGAACCCCAAGGAGGTGACTAACAAGGCAGTCAAGGGCAAGTACAAGTTCCTCCAGAAGTACTTCCATCGTGGCGCCTTCTTTGTGCAGACAGACGAGGACAAGTTGTACCAACGTGACTTCTCCAAGCCCACTCTCGAGGACCACTTCGATAAGACCAAACTGCCTCCTGTCTTGAGGGCAAGTTTGTTGTTTTATTCGTCTGTTGGCACATCTTCCATCGTTTCAGTGATATTTCGTTAAGTTGAGGCAACCATTCCAAAGCAAAGAACTTTCAACAGGAGTGGAAAGTGATTAGTGCCCATGAGAGCCGTGAACCGCGCAATCGTAGAAAAGCTACGTTCCTAGTTTTCCCTAGTCTCATGCGTCACGAACGCTGGCATCTTTTGAACGCCTTCCATTGAATCCAGGTTGCTACAAGTGGCTTTCTGGTGGTATCACCAGTGACGAGTGGTTTGCGTATTGTAGGTTAAGAACTTCGGTCGGGCTGGTCGCACCAAGTACACGCACCTGGTGGACCAGGACACCACGGCGTTCGATGCCGCCTGGACGTCGAACGATCCACTGGCGACGAAGTTCCAAATGTCTCATGGCGGCGGCTTCAAGGACGTCTTTGAGAAGCCATTGGCTCACAAGAAGAAGTAGTGCTACACGCCCACGTACCCAACTCCTCCTCCGTCTACTTTTAACATTTGTACATACACGCCTTTACAAATGCATACTTTCTTGCCACTCGAATTCACTTGGCCCAAATGAAACGCTCGGTTCTGTGTTGGTGTTCAGTCTGTGCTTGGCCAAGTTCAGTTTAACAGATCAGGTGGGTAGATGAGATGTTCTTTTTGAGGAATGTGTTTTGGTCGTGTTCGACACTTGTCATTGGTCGGGTGTGCGTGGAATGCGGATCTGTCCCCGTGGTTGAAATATCGCTTTTGAGCAAGAGAAGACGCTGTCCTCATTTCCGGGCCTGGTGGTGTTATGATTTTCCCTGAATTTGGTGTAATTTAGAGAAAACTACCGAGGTTCACAGAATGACGTGTGGAGGTTATGCCGATTTTCAGTACGAACACCCGCACCAGGTTTGGCTTCAAGCTGCTTTGCTCCCAAGCAACTGAACGGCATACTCAAAAGAATGGCGAAAAGCGTCGAAAATTATCGATCTGTGAAGGGAGAATTTGTGCCCCACTTCGACCTCGCACCACCAAGTCGCCGTTTATTTCTTACTTTGCAAAGCTTGACGTTTAACTAACCTCTAATGGTGATGACCTAGAATTGCGCGTGATTCAGTGTAACACCAATGACCAATCTTCATTCTCCATGTTAAATTCAGTTTTTCGCTTCGCACTACCATAATGAAACTACTGTAGAATACCCGAGCCCTAATAGGAAAAAGACCGGTACAACAGAACAGGCTTTATTGACCAATCAGAAGCCAGAGCCTCAGGTCAGGCGCCTTCCATCCGAGTCCACCACGCTCATTATATACTGCATCTCATTCATGTCCTTCTCTGGTTGGCTGCCTTCCTTTCCAGCATGCTATTGGATCGCAGAGAGACACGGGATTGGCTGAGGCCAGGTGGTCCAACATGTCTGCGCCCTAATCCGACGCCACTGTAGA